AATAATAAATAATAAATAATAAATAATAAATAATAAATAATAAATAATAAATGATGAATAATAAATAATAAATAATAATAATGAATAATAAATAATAATAATGAAAAATAATAATATAATTATTGATTATATTTTCCCAATTAAATTAGGGGTTTTTCTTATGCAATGTCTATTTATTCATTATAATTAGGACTCACTTAAATAATTAATTTTTATAAAATACAAATGAAAATGAAATAAACTGTGTTACATATTACAGCATCTGCACTTTTCCATGCCCATTTGCAAATTTATATAAATATTTTATGTGAACGTCAGCAGCAGGAGGAGCATAGTTAATAATCACAAAGTGCTCTATACGATTCACTTGATTTTCCAATACTGTTAAAAGCATTTTCAGATCGATTACATTTTCAGCTTTAATATGTGTGAAATTACGCAAATTGCGTCAATGTTTTAAGTGCAAAATCATTTTGTGCATTTAAAACACACACAAAAAATTGTCCAAAATCAAATGGGCGTGGGCGTGGGCGGCAGCAGGTGGAGTGCGCTTCCCGAGCTGGCGCGGCAGCCAACTTGTCATTCATCAAACTTTTTCAATAAAACTTTTGCGCTGCTCATCGCTGGCCGAAAAAAATAAAAATGGAAAACGTGGCCAAAACCAAACGGAGCTGCAAATCCGGCGCTCATTTCGCTGTAGCCAAAAGTCAAAATCTGATCCTGTTGGCCAAGTGAATTGAAATTTGTCTAGATTGAGCTGGAGCCACGTTCATGTGAATGAGAAGCTGTGGCTGTCCTTTCAGCGACTCTGATTGGATTGAGTCTATGCAAAAGTTTTTCGCAAATCCGTTGAATGTCAGACCTCGCCTGCTTCAATTCCATATCTGTCTGAGAGCGAGGTCAGACATCTCCACTCTTGCCAATAAACAATTTACCTGATATTTTGAGCTGACTTCAAGCTTAAGTTGAAAGCCCAGCCATAGCACGAGAGTTCAGCTTGGGCGTAAGCCCAAATTCTTTGGGATATTACTTGACTAGAGATAATATCGTAGATTATTGATAATACCTAATTTATATGCAACCCTGTAGAATCGCATTCGTTATGTATTATTTGGCTAAACAAACCCTTTCTGTTAAGTCGATGATCTTAAATCTGTTATCAAATAGACTAGAAACCAAAAGTTAAGGGATCGCATGATATGATACCCTGCAATGATGTATTCGATGCCCTAAGAGAGCCTGAATTGAACCTCTGGGCTGTTATAGAAGAATCTAACTTAAGTCGATAACTATTAAGTTTTTATCGAATAGAGTTGCAAGGAAAAGCTAATGGATATTATGATATGATACCCCGTAATGCTGCATTCGCTGGCTTGTGTTAGGCGTAACAGAGCCTCAATTAAACCTAGGAGATATCATGGAAGAATCTAAGCTAAGTCGATGATTTTAAATTAGTTATCGAATAGACTGGAAAGAAAGACTGGGAGTTAAAGGATTGTATGATATAATACACATATAATTATGTTTTATATAGCTTCAGTTAAGCTTAACAGAGTCTGGGTTGAACTTCTTTGTCATAAAAGAAGAATCTTTCCAAAAGTCGATAAATATTAATTTGTTACCTAATGGACTATGAATGGTTTCAGTGACTGTTAGACAAAAGAGCGGATGCAACAGACAGTTTGTCTGGCATGTGCGACGGCTGAGTTAATAACAAATTGAGACCAGTTAGTGGCAGTGGCACAGATCGGGTTGATCAGGCGAGGGGGTAGCGCATGGGCAAGGGATACGAATCGCTTACGCTTGGAGATGCAGCCCCAGGCCACGAGCAGCTCGATCAAAGCTGTACAAGTTCCATCAAAAAAGTAAAAGAGAGAGAGAGAGAGAGAAAGTAAAGATAATGTTGGCACAAAAAACACAAGATCAAAAAGGAATGTTGTTGTTGTTGGGTCGGGTTATACAAGTACGACATAGTTGGCTCCACTGTGCTTACCATTCTGTGCGTCGCTGCCCTGGAACAGGTTGCGCAGATAGCTGATGAGGCGTCGGTGCAGTGGCCGATGGCGATGGCGCGAGGACTTGCGCAGCGAGGACGACGACTCCTGGCCACCGTCGCCCTGCTCAACGTCGTCCACGTCGGCCGCCTCCTTGCCGCACTGCGTGGCATCCACAATGATCTCAATGCTGCGCTGTGTGCTGGACTTTTTGAGAACGACGCCAGCGGTGCCGGCAGCAGTGCCACCCACACCACCGACACCACCGCCACCACCACCGCCGCCGCCGCTGTTGAACGCCGCCAGGGCGCTGCTGCTGCTGCCAGCTCCCGTGCTGGTGGCAATCGTGCCGATGAGTGCATCCGTCGCCAGGTTGCCCGTGCCCGCGATGCTGCTCACGACATTCTCGCGCGAGCTGTGCGCCGGCTGGTGCTGTATGATGCGGCCGTGTTGGCCCATGTGGCTGCTGGGCAGCTGTCGTCCCGCCTGCCCACCGCCACCGCCACCGCCGCTGCCGCTGCCGCTGCCGGGCAGCTCGTTCACTGTGCCATTGCTGTGACTGCCCCGATAGATGAGCTCCGTTTCGTTGGACACCTGGCGCAGGGCATGCAGTCCCAGGCCCGTATGCGAAGCGCTGCTGGCCATGCCCCCAGCCCCAGAGGCTGACCCACCACCACCACCAGCAGAGCCGCCGCTGCCATTGAGCCCCGTGTAGTAGGCGCTGTTCGGACGCTGCGTATGCTGCACCTGTGGCCCGGCCATTGCGCACTCCTCGCTCTGCGCAGCGGTTCTTGGGGGCGGGTCGGCGGCTGACTGGTTGGGCGGTTCACCGGTTGACCGGTTGAGCGGGTGAGCGGGTGAGCGGTTGGCCGCGTCTCTAGTTACGTGCTAAGCGCCTGTCGTTTCGGGTTAGTAGTTTTAGTTGCATTGCGTTCATTTTTGGTTAATTACATTTTGCCCCACTGTGCGCTGGCCTCTCTCTTAGCTTTGACTCTGGCTGGGATTAGGCTAGGATTAGTCTTAGCTCTTGCGCCTAGCAGTCGACAGTCGCTGCAGTCTTAACTTTAAATTCTCAACATCTGCACGGTGCCCAAGCAGTGACAGCAATTGGGGGGAGAGAGAGAGAGAGAGAAAGAGAGACAAAATATCAGAGGCTTGTTAATCAAAATTAATATTTAGTTATTCAGTTGGTTAACATTTCACAGCCAGCAGCAATGCATAGAGAGTCGGTGCGTGTGCGTGTGTGTGTGTGAGGGTGTGCATGTGTGTGTGCTCGAGTACCTTGATATTGCATTTACATACATATATATCACATACATACATGTATATCATTATAGAACTACAGCATTTCGTCGTAGATAATTATATACTAATTCATTTAGTTTTGACTATGGAAATAAGTTTTTTTATATATACACATCTTTATCTCTTAAGAAAAATACATAATAAAAAGAAAAAGTAATACAAATTCAAGTTAATATAGTAATAATAATATTTAATAAGTCTGGCTAGGCACTCCCTTTCTATGTACTTAGCAAACCCATATAAATATTCCATTTGCCCAGTTCGCAGTAGGCATAGCCTAGCTAATGGACGCTACTATAGTACTTGTGGCTTCTTCGTTCCCGGAATTAGCAACAAAAGTATATGGGCTCGCCTTTGATTTCACGTAAACAATGAATTAATTCATAGCGAGTATACGGAGAGCGAAGATACGGAGGGAGGGTAAACGAGGAGTGAGTATAAGAAAAACGAGTATACAGAGAGTAAGTACACAGAGTACGGAGCTTTTCAAAACCCAAATTCAAATAAATTTAAAAGTTCTCGCTTTTTGCTCTCTCATATACTCTCTTTATCGTAGCGTCGCACTACCACAACTGCAACATTGCATCGTACAATCTGAGCAGACAAACTCTTCTATTCCATTCACAATGTCACTTCATCTTATTATAGTAAGAGAATATATGCATTTACTCGTATTCTATTGCAGTTCACTTCAGCCAAATTAAATCTTAGACCATTTATAACATGTATTCCAAATCGCCTTTATTAGCTCTTATGAAAAAGAATAGCTTATATTCATTTACCAAAAATCAAAGCAAGCCATGCTGCAAAATTCGCACTCAAATTCCTAATGATGTAGAGATTATTTCGTAGTGTTTTCAGTGTTCGGCTCGAACAGTTATAAATTGTTGTTTGTTTATTTTTTTTTTTTCGTTTTCAATTTTTTATAAATATTTTGTTTGTCGCCTATCCGTTATTTGGTTTGCCTTACGAAAATGGAGAAAGAATGCGCCGATGAGATGCCCTTCAATCCCTTCTACATCGGTCCACATCCCAGCCAGGCCTGCTCGAATTCAAAGCCCGCCGTGGAGACTGGGCGTCAATGCTCGCCGAATTACACGGATACCCAAAGTCTGGCAGCCAATCCACCCGGACCTCACTCAAGCAGCAGTCAGGCGGATTGTAGCCAGACCACCAAGGGAAACACACCGGCGAAACCTGCTGCTGCTCCTGCTGCTGCTCCCTGTGGTCACTATCCTTGCAATGATGTACGGAGATAGGCAGTCGATGCGGATAGGCGTACAAATTGAATATTTCTTCAAAATTCACAATGTGCAATAAAGCCCGAAATTGAAAACAATTTATGAGCTGTCTTTTATTGTCTATATTCATGGAGCTGGCTGTCATCTTAAGATCACAGCTATTGGGAATGTGGCATAACAGCTAAACAGCTGCATGGCATAAGATTGCTTTAGTCTTGATCTCCCATCTCTGGGTCTGCAAAGCCTTAGAACTGTTTCCATAAGATGTATAGCTCTTGTTTCCAAATCTACCAAGTGAGTTAGTGTTGATCTTTCTTATAGATATTATACATATGCTAATTTTTAAAAATTTATTTTGAAGTTTGTAACATTTCAGCAGTATAAGAAATAAAAAAAATAATTAAAAAAAAAAAAAAAAATATTTATAAAAAATAAATAGTAAAATTTTCTCAATATTTCCTAAAGCAGCTGATTTAATATTTCATTCACTGTTACTCAAAATTGCAACTCGTTGATTATTGTAATATTTAACTGCATATATATTATGCCATCAATTGTTTGACTGTCTTGGGCTTTGAACAGCAACAATCGGAGTCGATTTCGAATTGGCCAAGTCAAACTGATTTCACAGCAGCAGCTGCAAGTTTAATGGCTTTGCTGTCGGCTGTAATGCATCAACAGCAGCAGCAGCAGGAGCAGGAGGAGCAGCAGCAGCAGGAGCAGGAGCAGGAGTAGCTGCATCAGCATCAACATTCGACTGCTTGGCAAATTTGAATTTTGCATTGGCATCGCATCGTGGCATTCTGCTGCGTATCTATCGAGCGTATTGCACTTGCAAATTGAATGAAGTACAAATTTATTATTTATTGATAGACTTATGCAAGTGCGCAGCAACAGCAGGAATACGAGCAGCAGCATCTTATAAGTGCTTATGTATGCATACATGCACACACACATATGTGTGTATGTGTGTGTGTGTTTTGTGTTGCTCGGCACTTGGCTAAATTGCTAAACGCAGCTGACTTCTTTGACAGCACTGGCAGCAGCTGCACACCTGGTGCCACCTGTATGACCTTGGGCTTTGCCAACTGCAACTGCAAGCCCACACACCCTCGGCCCTGCCCACACGCCCGCACGCCCGGCCGTTTACAAAATGATTTATGCATTTCAACCATTTGTTGTCGACTTTGCGCACGAAAAACAGGAACCAACAACGTTTAATGTGATTTTCTTGTTAAATGGAAACGCTGGAGCAGGTGGTGAAAAGTGCGGAGCTTTTCTAAGAAAGCGCTTTTCACGCGCTTCGCTGTTTTCTGTCACTTTTCATTTCTCAACAAATTGTCTGCACTTACGAACCCCTTTGTTAAGCACTTGTTCGCATTTCGTTCTCGTTCCCCCACTCCCCTCCCCCATCCAGTGGGCTATTGTGAACGGAACGAACGACTAAATGGATGGAAACGGGCTTATAGTTATAGTCCAATTGACTGACTATTTCTTCGCCAGCAGCCAAGCCCAGCCCCACTACGATCAAGGTCGATCGCGTTGCACTCAATGGATTGCGTTGTCCATTGTGCGGCCACCTTGAACTGAGTCGAGCTGCAGGGCTACGTGAGCGCTTAAAGCTTGAATTTGTAATACATTAATAGAGGTAATGTCTGCTGTAGAGCCAGGGGCAATTCATATTATTGTGAGAAGCTGAGACTGTGCGGGCTCTATGGGAATGCAGTTACTATATAAGACTTGATTTATCGATAACCTAAGCAGCAGACAAAATGTCGGTTTTCGATAACTAAAGCTCAAATTCAACTATCGATAAATGCTTACCCCTAGGCTTAAGCAGCTGCTGAACTAAAGCTGTACACTTTCATTGATTATCGATATCGATTATAGATTATCGATAGTTTAGGAGGCATATAGACCATGTGTATAAAAAACTTAATATTCAGTCTGTGGTTATCAATCTAAAATGCTTGAGTTGACGATAACTATAACAGCTGCTGAATAATAGCTCGCCAAAAGAATCCATTTTCCTCAGTTATCGATAGCTCAACCAGCTATAGTTATCGAAATAATTATACTGTAACAGCTGAGCTGTAGTTATCGAAAAATGTGTACCCTTTCTTTGATTATCGATTACTTTACTAGCTGCGGCGGTATAGTTCCCTTGACATCGATAACTATACCTATCGATCAAGCTGTACTCCCAGGAAAGTCGCCTTTGCATGCATAGTAATCTCACTGCAAATCAAAATGTAGTTCTATGATGATTTCTTTCGATAGCTATGCTAAACTTGAAATGGATATAGGAATAGTAATTTCTATGCAGGTGCATTGATTTCACCTCTGCAAATTGTCAACAAATCAAATTTGAGAACTTAATTTATTGGCATGTCGGAAGGTACGTCGGAATGGCAACGTTGCCGAGTGAAGTGAATAAAAACAATGCATAAATATCTATTAAAATTGGATTGAAATAAATTATGGTTTACAGAACACAGGCGACGGCGACGGTGGCGGCAGTGCCACCAATAAATAGGTGTGGGACTGGAGGTAATGATAATGTGGCGACAGAGGTTAATGGCAGAAAAGAGGAGGGAACTGAGTGGGCTGTGTGGGTGCTGGGGTATATATAGGCCACAAGACGGCAAGACGTTGAGATGTTGAAGGTCAGCTAGAGCTCTCCAGCTAAGCTGGGGCGAGCAGTGGAGTGCAAGGCAAACACATCGATGGGGAAAGGCAAAATCAACTTGACGTGAACAGAGGAAATTAAGTGCATGGCAGCGTATCAGAGAGGGCGACGAGCAGCTGACGAGTGACGACTGCTGCTGCCCCTCCTGCTGCTCCTGCTGCTGTTGCTGTATAAAATGTCGAGGACAACAAAAGGACTCGCATACTTAGACGCACTTGAGCATGTTGAAAGAAAAGAAAGCAAATCGCTAGGAAATGAAGCTGAAATTTATTATAACAATACGGCGTAATCGTGTGCGCCGCCGGGCTGCAGTTGCCTTCGCTCCGCCGGATGGCCGATAAACGGATATGCCTTTCAAATAAATAAATCACGAAAATAAAGGTAAGCGTAAGAAGGGTGAGCGTAAGCCTCAGCCAGCTACAAATGATTATGATATGGCACAAATAACAGCAGCTGCCAATTGGAGGCACGTAGCAGCAGCTATTCGAGTGCTTCGCCTGCACTTGTCAAACACGGCCACGTAGAGGGAATCTGAAGTGCACTTTGTCAGAGGGCGCTGTGGTTTGTCTGACTGCTTTGCCGTCAAATAGACCAACCGAAAAAAAGTCGAAGAAGAAGAAGCAGAAGCAGAAGAAGACGTGCCACAACTTCACTCGCTCTCTCTCTCTCTCTCTCTCTCTGTCTCAGTCTCTGCCTTGAAATATGCGCAATATTCAAACGGGAAGGTAAAAGGAAATTGGATTTTTGTTGACATTATTTTACAAATATCCGGGCGTGCAAATAGCTATAACAATGGCTGCTTCTGCTTTTCGTCTGCTTCTTCATCTTCTTATGGCCAGTTCTGGTCACACTCACACTCACACACACACAGGCACACATACACGCACACACCTTCATTTATGCAATGAGTTATTTGCGAGAGCTGCTACTCAAGTACATCCGATTCAAAGTGGGTGCTGCTCGAGCAGCATCTAAAGCTGCCTGGCCAATTTCAATAGAAATGCCAACCATTGTGTATGTGTGGGTGTGCGTGAGAGTGTATGTGTGTGTGTATGCTAGATGGCGGTAAACATATTTTGATTTTGCATAATAAATTGCTGTGCGCGCCGAGCGCAAGTCGACAGCCAAGAAGGCAACGCTTCGTACCAAACACAATCTGCTCCTTGAGCCACACGGATGCACTTTTCAACCCACTCGGAGATGGCTTGGCTGCCCGAACAGACGCAGCTGTATACCCTTTGATTTGATAGTGCATATTGGAGATGTATTTGTATCTTGTGTGATGTTCCCTCAGAGAACTCAATATAAGATATGCAGTCAGCGGACTTAGCAGCTAATGATCGTTATGTATTTGGCCTAGTCGCATTTATTTGATATGTAGTTACTGCTGATATGTCCACTGCTGTTCACTATATATCTGTCTAGGCCTCAGCTCTTTTAGAGTTTCATGAGATGGCAGATAATCTATAATTTTTCTTCATTTGTGATCAAGTAGAGAAGAGGCCAATGGAGCACATTTATTCTGTCTTTGAGTTAAGTTTCACTACCTGATTCTAGCTATGAATTTTGAGTCATTTCAGTTAATGATCATTATATATCTTCTTTATTCCAAGCTATATCTTAGTTGCAAAAAATGTAAGTTAATCTATAATTGGAATATATTTGTGAACAGCTAAAAGAGACGAATTAATTTTCAGTCAGGAAACCAATTCTCGAAGCCTGTTCAGATCTCAATATGATATATACTTATGCATGTATATATTTGAGTATGTAGCAAAGCTATATCAGTTAATGAATATTAAGTAGTATCAGCTTAAGGCATATATGGTTCATAGTTACTTAAGAGAACAGCTTCTTCCTCTCGCATATCATATCATAGGAATGCCTTCAGCTGAAGTGCAGCTCCTACAACTGCAGCTCCTTCAACTACTCTCACGCTCCCTCGTTCCCTCTCTCTCTCTCTCTCTCTAGCTCTCTCTCTCTCTCTCTCTCTCTCTCTCTCTCTCTCTCTCTCTCTC